TTTCCTATGTACTGATGATATTGTCGACATCTCTCTAAAATTTCCAAGTACAATTTGGCTTCAAGCTCTGTGCTGAGCCTAGAATTCCTTTGCCTTTATCCCTTTTTCTTTGCCTAACTATCTCCCACTGATCTTCCCTTAATTTATGCCCAGAAGTATTTCATTTAAGTTTATATTTTTGTAGGAAACATTACTACCTTCCCTGCCTCCACACATGTGCACAGACACCCCTCTCCTGTCCCACGTACCTGTTGCCTATTTCTCCCACTGAACCTTTATTTTGTACCTGAAGGGCTTGGGATAGCTCTCAGAGTTTCTTGAATGTATGAACAAACTTCCAAATAACAAACCAGAAGCTTCCATTAGATGCAGTTGCCCAGAGGACAGGACAAAGAAACCCCAGAGATTTGCACATTTTCTCATCCAAACACTGAATCTATCAGTGACCTGACAAATGTCCTCTGAGAAATGTCCTAAGACTCATATTTGGCATTCAATTATATAAAACTAATATGAGTCATACATTTCAGAAATTTTATTTCCTTATTATATCTATGGTTTTGTTGCCAACTCTAGTCCATTCAAACTCCCAGCTGCCAATGTAGTAAAGTTTTGATTCCAAGTGAGTGACCTACAGTCCTTCAGGATGATTCTGTCTTACCAGGATGAGAAGTCTGAAAGCTAAGGAGGCCTGGGGCAGCTGTGGCCCAGGGGGGCAAAGAAGTGAGTTGGAAGAGCAAGAAAAACATGTCTGCTTTGCTTCCCTCCTTTTCCAAAGTTCCACATAAACTGTCCTCTCTGTGGTCTGCATTATATATATAATAATAATAAACCCTCCACACACTGGCCACTTCCCCAACAGAATACCATTTAGCACATTGGATTTTAGTTCCTCAATCACAATGACAACTCTCCTACTGGAAAATTCTGATCTTACAATACAATAAGGGGCATAATACATATTGATTATGAGTTGGTGATATGTGAGCTACTAACTCTTGGTATATTACTGAATAATAATAAATAATGACTTTTAAATTTTTATTTTTTTTTCCTCAAGTCATATTCTCATTGTTTGTTTCTAGCCTGGAACATGATAATTGTACTATATTGGTCTTTCTATATATTCTACTTTTTAGTTTTCCTAGTCTATCCTAAGGGACTACCTAGACTACCTAGGATTAAATTCTGAATTTACTACCTAGAATTAAATTCTGAATGAAATATGCCCCACCAGTCATAAGCTTACTTTTCATACACTTATTCTTACTCCTTCCCCATTCCCCGTAGCTCATATGCCGCTGAGCCCACCTCTGTGCCTTTGTGTAATTTTTACATGTTCGTCTATTCTGCAGCCCTCTCTACTCATCTAAATCATGTCTACTGTCAAGATTGAGTACCCATCAACATGGTTCAGTCTGGCTCATTCATGAACAAACCCAGTGAGCACATGGCTTTCATAATGATGGTGTCTGGGGAAGAGGTAGAACATTATGAGAAACTGAAGGCCCTCCTCTAAGGGTGAAAGTGCCCACCTGAAGGGGCCTCTCCTGACTGATGGGCAGCATCCAGGGTCAGCCATTCACATGTGATTTTGATCATGTGATTCTACCATATTTCAGCAAGGGAGATAGTCAAGCCAAATTCTTTACAGAACTAGAAAAAGCAACACTAAAATTTATTTAAAAAAATAAGAGGCCAGAATAGCCAAAACAGTCTTTAACAGGAAGAACAATGCTGGAGGCATCAAAATACCTGACTTCAAATCATACTGTGGAGCTATAGTAACAAAAACAGTATGGCACTGGCACCAAACCAGACATGAAGACTAAGGAACACAATAGAAGACACAGGCACAAATCCACATAAATTCAGTTATCTGATACCAGACAAAGGTGCTAAAACATATATTGGAGAAAAGATAGCCTCTTTAACAAATGGTACTGGGAACACTGGGAATCCATATCTAGAAGAATGAAATTTGACCCCTGTCTCTCACCCTGCATAAAAATCAACTCAAAATATAATAAAGACCTAGGAATAAAACCAGAAATTCTTTACGTACTAGAAAAAAAAAAATTGGCTATATTGGTACAGGAACCAACTTCCTTAACAAGACCCCTAAAGCACAAGAAATAAATCTAAAAATCACAGGTGGTCATCATCAAACTAAAAGCATCTACACAGCAAAGAAAACAAACAGTTAAGAGTATGAAGAGAGCGCCTACAGAATGGGACAAGATTTTTGCCACCTGCTCCTCAGATAAGGCATTGATATTCAGAATATAAAAAGAACTCAAAAAACTGAAAACCAGAAAAGCAAATAATCTAATTAATAAATGGGCAAAAGAACTAACCAGATACTTTTCCCAAAAAAAGAAATACAAATTGCTAACAAACATATGAAAAAATGTTCAACATCTCTAGAAATCAAGGAAATGCAATTTAAAACCCCCTTGAGATTTCATCCCACTCCAGTCAGAATGGCAATAATCAAGAATTCAAATAATAAGTGTTGGCAACAATGTGGGGAAAAGGTTCAATCATACCTTGTTTGTGGGACTGCAAGTGAGTACAACTACCCTGGAAAGCAGTATAGGGATCCCTCAAAAAATCAGGAATGGAACCACCATATGATCCTGTTATCTCACTCCTCAGTATATTTCCAAAAGATCTAAAATCAGCATATTATCGGGATACAGCTACATCAAAGTTTGTAGTGGCACAAGTCACAATACCCTTGTGATGGAACCAACCTAAGTGCCCTTCAACAGACGAATGGATAAAGAAAATGAAGAAAATGTGGTATATAAACACAATCGATCATGAAAAAGAATGAAATGATGTCATTTGCTGGAAAATAGATAGAACTCGAGACTATAATGTCTGAAATAAGCCAGACCCAGAAAGTCCAAGGTTTTCTCTGAGATGCAGGAACTAATCTAAAATAAGGGAAATACAGGATAGAGGGAGGGAAAAAGGGAGAGGGAGAACAAATGAGCTGGGGGAATTCCATCAAAATTAAATAAAGATCAGGGGAGTATAAGGGGATTGATGGGGAGGGAGGAGAGATGGCATAACAAAAAACAGTGGAATAAATCTGATCTAACTTTCCAATGTACATATATGAATATACGACAGTGAATTTCACCACTATGTATATCTACGAGACACTAATATAAAAAAGTATAAATAAATAGATCAGTATAGTATAGGAAGTGGAAAAGAAGGAGAAAGGAGCAGGAATGAATCGGAGCAAATTATATTCCATGCATTTATAATTATGTCAAAATGAATCCTAATGTTCTATATAACTATTTGAACCAATAAAAATAAATAAAAACAATGTTATATCTATTTCACTGTACATCACTATACAGGCATGATCTCAACATAGTGTAAATGTGCAAAATGAGGAACCTTGGTCTAATTTCTCATGAGAAATAGCTGATGTGTTAGAATTCTATCCTATTTTTTTTTATGATTCAGCAAACTAATTACTCTGACCTTCCCACAAGAAACAACCTTATAAGTGTTTTAATACTACATACTTGGTGCACTGAAATTCTATGTTTGTCTTGCTTTCAAAGCTCTTCAGGCTAAATTTTAGCTTTCTATTTTGAGAACTTACATTTCAGTAATTTTCCAGAAAAATAATTGAATCCACTACTTTTTGAATGACCACACTGTTTCACAAAAGCTCCCAGAGCATAAAGATAAATGCCCAATTAAAAAGATTGATATTAATGAGAAATGGGATTTCTTTGATAATGTAATACACTTAAAATTTTGCAAAGCTTTATCTACTTCTCTAACCAATTCATTTTCATAACAAACAAAGGTAAAGTAAGATAGGAGTGGACAGTCTGGACAGAAAAAATATTAATTAAGATTTGCATAAATAAACAATGTGTATGATTTGACTTGGAAGATCACTTTTGTCCTTATGAAATTTTAACATGATAACTCTAAGAACTAAATATCTCCCATCATCCTCATAAATATTCCCACTTCTACTCATACAAAGTCTGATTTATAACAGTAAATAGTATTAGTATAGTGCTCTATCACACATTTTTCACAGTTCACACAGCAACTGAAATAACTTAGTCCTTCCATGATGATGGATTCTTTGGTAAGAAAAAAGCACAAGGTGGGTTGATCTTGATAATCCTTCCACTAAAAAATAAAGCATACCATGTTCATGCCATTGAATTGGCACACTCATTTCTCTTGATTTATTATTATAATTATTATTGTTTCCAGTAAGAAAATCCTTGGAATTGTAGCTGAAATTTGTGTATCATGGTGATTCAAAATTCAAGGGAAAGTCTGTGTTTTTTGAGTGTTTGCAGTATATGATGATAGTAGATGTATTATTATATTTAAACCTTAAAGCTATCCTACATAGCAGGTATTGGCTTCACTCACAGTTGTATTCATTCATTTATTCTTATATCAGTCATTCATTATGTCTTTGATGTGTTAGCCATGGTTCTAGGCTCTGCAGACACACCAGTGAACTAAATAGACAAAAACTACTTGCCTGGTAGACCTTATACTCTCAGCACCACATTTAAATAAATAATATAAAGGTCCATTGACAACTAAAAAAATATTTTTACAAAAGAATAGACTATCTGAAAATCATAGCAGGACAGAAAAAGCAACAACAGAGAAAGTAGGAATCTTACAGGAATTTTGGGACAGTGTTAAGATAGTAAATATTTGGTTATTGGGTTTAAGGAGGACTTAAGGAGGCCAAAGGGGATAGAAAGCTTATTCAAAGAAACAATAGCAGAAAACTTCCCAACCTAGAGGAGGATACAGAGATCCACATACAGGAGGCTCAAATGCCACGAGTCATATTTAACTCATGTTTACCCCAAGATATCTGATAATCAAGTTCTCGAAGATGAAAGGAAAGAGAAGACACTCAAGACTGCAAGAAGAAAGATCATCTAAAGATGTCCCAATTTTCCTGACAGCAAACTACTCACCAGAGCCCTTACAGGCTAGGAGAAAGTAACTTGAGCTTTTCACAGTGCTGAAGAAAAAATAAACTTTAAATAAACTACTGTACCCAGGGTATCATCCAGGAATGAACGATACATGAAGATATCCAGGAAAAATGAAAGCTGAGAGAATGTAGCTCCATCAGACCTGTTTTACAAAAAAAAAATTAAGGAAGTTCTCAGCCAGACACAGTGACACATGCCTATAGTCTAAGCTATTTGGGAGGGTAAGACAGGAGGATTACATGAACCCAGTAGTTTAAGACCAGTCTGGGCAACATGGCAAGATCTCATATCAAATACATACATACATACATACATGCATAAAATGACATTCATTAAGCTGAATGAAAGGAATATTAATGTGTAAGAAGAAAATATGAGAAATTATAAAATTCATGGTAAAAACAACTATACAAACTCAGAATGCTTTAATATTATAAATATGGTAAGAAATTGTTTATATATTATTATGGTTTGGATGTGAGATATCTCCAAAAAGCTCATGTGTGAGACAATGAAAGAAGGTTTTGAGGAGAAATAATCGAGTTATGAGAGTTTTAATCCAATCAATGAATGAATCTTCTGATGAGACTAACTGAGGGATAACTGAAGGCAGGTAGAACATGGCAGGAGGAGGTGGGTCCCTGGGGGGTGTGGCCTTGGAGTATATATTTTGTTATCTGGCAAGTGGGATCCCTCTCTCTGCTTCCTAATCATCATGTGAGCTATTTTCCTCCACCACACTCTTCCACCATGATGTTTTTTTCTTTACCAAAAGCCCTGAGGAATAGAGCTGGCTGTCTATGGACTGAGACCTCTTAAAACAATGAGCCCCCAAATAAATTTTTCCTTCCCTTCCCTACAACTGTTCTGGGTGAGTGTTCTAGTCACAACAGCCAAAAAAAAAAAAAAAAAAAAAAAAAAAAACTGACTAAAATATATATTTAGTATGAAGGCTAATAGCAAAACAAATAAAAATAACTACATCAATATATAAAGAGATAAGCACTATAGAAAGATGTACAATGGAGAGGCTTGGAGAGTAACTTTGCAATAGATTGTGTAGCTGGCATGCATGAGCTTTTAGGGTCAATCCCTAGCAGCAAGAAAACACCAATATAAGATTTAAAAAAAAATTTAAAATGTGGGAAGGAATGGACTACATTAGTATATTAGAGAAGGGGAGGGATATCTTCATGGTCATGTTAAATTGCTCTCATTAAAGAACAGCTTATTATAATCAAAAGATTTTTGTGTCATGTTAACAACAAAAATCTATAATATACAAACCAAAATAAATAATCCAGGATTCAAAACACACTTTGTAAGAGCAATCTCCTAACCACAAAGTAAGACTATAAAAGAGTGAGAAAAAAAAATAGAACTACAATAAAGTGACCCAGACTATAGTAAGACCTTACCTGTCAGTAATTACCTTGAATATAAATGAATTCATTTCTCCAATTAAAGAATATGTCATGAAAGATTGGATATAGAAAACAAGAACCAATTCTGTATTGCTTACAAGAAACTCACTTCACCTCTAAAGATACAAAAGTACTAAAAGGGAAAGGAGGGAATAAGAGAGTTCCTGCTAATGGATTCCAAAAGAAAGCAAGAGTGGTGTGCTTATATCAGATAAAACAGACATTAAATCAAAAGCAATAAGATGTAAAGTCATTATCCAATGATAAAGGGGTCAATTCAGCAAGATAAAATACTAATTCTAAATATATATCCACCCAAATTGGTGTACCTAAATATAAAGCAAATATTTGTAAACATAAAGGGAAAGAGAGACTCCAGTACAATAATACTTGGGGGCTTTAAGACCCACTTTCAACAACAGATCATCCAGACATACAATCAACAGAAACAAGAGTGAAATTGCACCCCAGGTCAAGTGGACCTAACCAACATTTACAGAACACTCCATCTGATGGCTGTTGAGTACATTCCTCTCATCAGCTCATGCTACACTCACCTGGAAAGGTCAAACTTCAAAAAAATTTTTATGCCAAACTTCAAACAAATTTTTTAAAAACTGAAATCCTATCAAGTATCTTTGCTGACCACATATAAAATAGGTGAAAATGTAACTTACTTTTGAACAATGAACAGATCAAGTTAGATATTGACAAGGAAATTAAAATCTTTCTTAAAACAAGAGAAAATGGAAACAAAACATATCAAAACCTAGGAAACACAGAAAAAGCAGCCTGAAAAGGGAAATTTATAGCAACCAGTGTGTACATCCCAAAGTGCAAACATCACAAATAGCCCAGTAATACCTATTAATGCCTCTCAAGTAACTAGAAAAATGAGGGGAAAAATAAGCCCAGAATTAGTAGAAGAAAAGAATTATTAAAGATCAAAGCAGGAATAAATGGAGACTAAAAACTTAATCCAACAGATTTTTTAAAGAGCTTGTTCTTTGAAAAGACTAACAAAATAGACAACCTCTTAAGTATGCTAAGAGAGAGAGAGAGAAGACTCAAGTAAATTAAATCAGAGATAATAAGTGACACATTTCAACTGATATCACAGAAATACAAAGAATCATTAGACATTATTTTTTTTTAAAAGAGAGAGAGAGAGAGAGAGAGAATATATTTATTTTTTAGTTCTCGGCGGACACAACATCTTTGTTTGTATGTGGTGCTGAGGATCGAACCCGGGCCGCACACATGCCAGGCAAGCGTGCTACCGCTTGAGCCACATCCCCAGCCCGTTAGACATTATTATAAACAATTATATGCAAACAGATTTTATTACCTGGAAGATATGGACAATTGCTAAACATATTCCTCTTACTGAGCCTGAATCATGAAAAGAAAATTAAACAAATGGTAACAAGACTGAATCAGTAATAAAAAGCATCCCATAAAAAAAAAGCCCAGAACCAGATGTCTTCACTGCTGAGTTCTACCAAACATTTAAAGAATACTCATTCTCCTTAAGTTATTTCTACAATAGAAAATGAAGGAATGCTTCCAAACACATTCTACAAGGCCAACAATACCCTGATACTAAAAACAGATAAGGAAGGACACACACAATACTAGAAGTCAATATGATGAACATAGATGCAAAGTTCCTCATTCAAATACTAGCAAACAAAAACCAACAGCACATTACAAAGATTATTCACCATGATAAAATGAGACTCATTCCGGGGTTCAAAGATGGTTCAATATTTATGCAAATCAGTAAATATGATACACCACATCAACAGAATGAAGAACAAAAATTATTATCATCTCAATAGATGCAAAGATGCATTTGATAAAATTCAGCATTGTTTCATCATGATAAAAAAATGTTGAACAAATTAAAGACACAGGGAACATACCTCTCTATATAAAGGCCACTTGTAATAAGCCAACAGCTAACATTATACTGAATTGGGGAAACTTGAAAGTTTTTTGCTCTAAGACCTGAAACATGACAATGATGATCACTTTCACCACTTTTATTCAACAGTGCTAGAACTCCTAGCCAGAACAATAAGGCATAATATGAAATAATGGCCATCAAAATAGGAAAACGAGAAGTTCAGTCAACACGGTTTACAAATGACATGATCTACAAATGATGATCATCTGAAAATCCAAACTACACCAGAAAAAAAAAGACAAACATTAATACTTAGAAAATGAATTTGGCAAAGCTGTGGGGAAAAATAATCAATATACAAAAATCGTTGGTGTTGCTATACCGCAGTGTTAGTCTGCTATAAAAAATATAAATAATACTACTATTAATATAAGGGTCAGTGTTAAGTGTGGTTACATGTTTGTCTTTCTTGAATAAATTCGAAAAAATAGAATTGCTGAAGTTTATAGTAAATGTACATTTATTTAATCATATAAAAATTTTCCATAGGTTTTACAAGATGGTTGTATTATTTCACATTCTTAAAAGCAACATATACAAGTTGTTCCACATCCTTGCCAATGTCCCTAGGGCACATGGTCAAAGGAGGTCTGAAGAGAAATTTGTCCTATTATAGCCATGTCCCACTCTCATTCACGCCCACAGACTCTTGTCCAGGGTAGAAAAGACCCAGCTGTCACCCCATTCCTGGACACACATGACCAAAGAGATGGCAAGAAGAATTTTGCCCAGTTCAGGATGCATCCAACTCCCCATTGTTCCCCGGTAGGCATTACAGTTAAAAGAGTCAGAGGGAGAAAAACCCTGTGATTTCCCCATCACCAGGCATACATGAATGGGGAAGAGAAGAAACCAAGGTCCTGCTCCTAAATAGGCACTGCTACAAATATAGAAGAAGATAACACATTTCCTGTTTCCACCACAACTACACAGTTCCAACTCTGGACTAACCATGCACCGCTATTAGGACTTGGTGTGAATTCCACAGAAACCCTACCACTACATGCCTTAGTGAAGTTCCTAAGCTTGTACAACTGGTTGAAGGACAAGTGTTTCACATCCCTCACTGCTACAGGTACAGCCAGTGCAAGAGAGCTTTACAAGTAACAGAGCCAACACCAACAATGCCTGAGGAAACTCCACTCACCTGACAGGGGCCATCACTTCCACTGTAGCTCTAGCTATACAGTATACACCCCTCATACTCCACTGTCTATACCACACCTGCCTAAAATGTTAGGGCCTACTGAGACAGTGGGTCTCTCTGACTCCAACAAGGTTTGCACTGCATCCAAACTCACTAATCACACCCAAAGAAGCTATAAGAAAACCACATAATGCCTAACTGAAAATAAAGCCAACACTGAAACCCCAAGACACCTCTTCAGAAGAAAGCAATCCCATAAAAGTAGTCAAGATCTCTGATCCACTGTATGTACCAAGATCAACATAGGAACACAAGAAACATGAAAATGCAAGAGAATATGACAAAAAAAAATTAGTCAACTTCTTTTTGCTGTGGAAAAGTACCTAAGAAAATTTAACATAAAGGAGAAAATATTTATTTTGACTCACAGTTCAGAGGTTTTTAGTCCATGATAATTTGGTTCCATTGATTCTGACCCTGTGGTGGAACATTCCAGACTCCTAAAAATCATAACTCTACAGAAACAGAGTCTAAAAATTAAAAAATGTATGAAATGCCTCATAAATAATTCAAGAGTGATTATTAAAAAAAAATAAATGAAGC